TCCAGAACCTCTTCCTGAGATGCCGGCTGCACTTCCCCCATCCCACTTATTTCTCTCTCCCTTTCCCCCATCCTGCTCCCCACAAAGTCCTGAGAACATCTTATTCCTACTTCAAAGATCCTCCGGAAAAGGGTTTTTTTCCCGGAGGAGCGGGGCCAGTGTAGACGCTCTTTTCCGGCTTTTCTGAAAGCCAGAAAAAAGCGGCGGACATTTTAATTTAAATGCCGCAGGGGATATTTAAATCCCCCGCGGATTTCCCTATTACGACCGGTAAGATTAGCATGCCCCTTTCGGAAAAGGGGCCAGTGTAGACGTACCCAACCTGAGTAACATAACTTTAGAATACTTTCAGTCCCCAGGAAGAGTAGTAACTAATATATTTAAGTGATACTTACAAATCCAGCAACGGGAACAGCATAAAAACACACAAGAACTCGGAGCATGCTCAGGACTCGTGCACCCCTGTGTTTAACTTGGAGGAGTGGGGGGAGAGCCTCAGGGTGATCAATCCTTCAGCCAGGCAAACAAAAAAGACACATGCCCTCAACACTCGGAACAAAGGGGTTGAGGGTTTTTATACCATAACCTGATGTCCGGTACCGTATTAGGGTCTGTTCTTGGGCAGGGCCGGATAGGCTGGTAATGTGCAATATTGCCCTATTGGATTTTTCATGATGCCCGCCTGGTGGCCCCATGGACAGTGCCTGATGCGGGCATGGTCAGTGTGTGTGACAGTTGTCTTATCTCCTTATGTCTACTTCAAGGACCAGCCAACAGAGTCTTATCTATCTCTGCAGCTGTGCTCTCTTCTCATGCTCACCTCCCTGTTCTTTGATGCCTACAAGGCATCACTTCCATTCACTGAAAGCTGCATTGTGCACTTACAAGTTATGCTTTCTCAGAGTGTGTGGGCGGCCTACATTTTCTGTGAGGGGCCTTTGTGTGGCAGAATGGGCACTGTGCGCGTGAGGCTGTGGTCAAAAGGACCTGCTCTGCAACAGCAATGAACTACTCAGTGCCTGGCTGCGCCACCCAGCGCCCTGCCAGCTGGGAACACCCCACCCTGGCCATGCAGCCCGTGGGGAATTGCCCACTGCTGGGCGGGTTGTGCTGGAGCCACGGAGCAAGGAGTGCCTCAGCCCCGGCTGTAGCTGTTGGCTGCGCAGCAGTGCCACCTCTGTGGGGCTCTGGGCTGAGACTGACTCAGACTTGTAGGAAAACGTGTCCTCGCTGATGGGTGAGGTAAGGGGGATAATTGCCCAGGCCCAGTGCTGCAGGGACAGCAGCAGCTAGGGTTGCCAGATGGTTTCTAAAAAAATACCAGACAAAAACTTGATAAAAATTTGTTGAAGGGGGAAAAAAAAAAGCGCCCGGGAGTAACCAGGGAAAAGCAAGCAGGGAACGTGACGTGAAGAACAGAAGAAAGTCTTGACGGCCATGGTGGAGCTGATAACATGCATGGCAGACTCATATGACAGCCAGATTCACAGGTACAGCTTCCATCGCATGCTAGCTCACATTCCCTTCTCGCTAAGTTCCATAGCCTCCTCTCCCTGGGGCCCTAGAGGGGTTAGGGTTGATTTTAAGGGGAGCCTCACATTCATCTCTCAGGGATGTGCCCCAGCACAAGAGGCTGTTTGTCAGTCTCACATGCATGTGTGATTACTGCATGTGTGATTACTGCATGTGGGGAGGGAAAACTCAGTGGTTTGAGCATTGGCCTGCTAAACCCAGGGTTGTGAGTTCAGTCTTTGAGGAGGCCATTTAGGGACCTGGGGCAAAATCAGTCAGGGATGGTGCTTGGTCCTGCTGTGAAGGCAGGGGACTGGACTCAATGACCTTTCCAAGCTCCCTTCGAGTTCTAGGCGATAGGCATCTCCATTCATTTCATTTTATTTCATTTCATTACTGAACAGGGGGCTTGCAATACATTGCTTCCCCTTCTCTTCTCCTGCCTTTATTTCTTTTTCTGACCCTTCTTTCTTGTGTTCCCTAAATAACAATGCATGATTTCCCAACAACTGTAACTTTAATTATTGTGTTGCATGAGGGGGCTTTACAGGTGTTGAGGCTGTTCCCCACTCTGGCACTCTAAGTGCAGATGGTAGGGGCCCACCAGTGACCTTAAATACTATTCATATACAGGGTTCTGCTTACAAAAACTCCCCAAGGTCACAGATTCCCTGCCCTTGGGAGATAGCTGCTACCATTAAGAGTAACAATAACCCCCTTTTTCTTAAACCGAGGAAGAAGCACTTGAACTTCTTCCAGAGGGATACCCCAAGCTCTATTACCACAAGAGAGCTTGAAAAAGAAACAAACAGAAAACAAACTGCAGTCTTTGGGTGTGTCTAGACTACAGGGTTTATGGGATAGGGAGGTGCTGAACCTGGGGGCTTATGAGGGTGGCAACTTAAAGTGCTGTTAAACTAGCCCATGGAGTCCAAAGGCGCAGGAGGGTCACAACTTGGCATTGCTGTGCAACCAGCCTGCTGAGTCCAGGGACAGATAAGGACTCAGCTGCTGAGTGCTGATTAACCCGCCTCTCAGACTGCTGTGGTAGTAGGTGTGTCTGTGTGTGCCTCTCATTCTAGTGTAGGAAGAGCCCAGCCCTGGGGAACCTAGAACCTGCAGGAGAGCCCCATTGGGAGGGAATTGGCAGAAGGGAGAAATATAGCCCCTGTGGGAACACAAATAACACAAGCAGCAAGTTAATAGAATTATAACACCAATGATAACCCTAATAAATGAGCATGAAGCATGCCCAAAAGTAACGGGCAAATCTGGTAACAGCTATTACAGCAAGAGGGAATCGAAAAGAGGTGCATCCAGAGTGCCACGCCAGGGGGCGAACACGGGCCATGCAAGCCAACAGTCCCAGCTGCCTTTTCTGTCCCATATGTTATTACACAGAGGCTACATCTACACTGGCACCCTTTTCCGGAAATGCTTAAAATGGAAACTTTTCCATTATAAGCATTTTTGGAAAAAGTGCATCTACATTGGCAGGATGCTTTTCCGGAAAAGCGTCCGTGGCCAATCTAGACGCGCTTTTCCGCAAAAAAGCCCTGATCATCATTTTCGCGATTGGGGCTTTTTTGCGGAAAAGAAATATCTGCTGTCTACACTGGCCCTTTTCTGAAACAGTTTTCTGGAAAAGGACTTTTGCTTGAATGGGAGCAGCATAGTTTTTCCGGAAAAACACTGACAATTTTATATTAGATCGTCAGTGCTTTTCTGGATATTCAAGGGGCCAATGTAGACAGCTGGCAAGTTATTCCGGAAGAGTTGCTGATTTTCCAAAATATAGCTGGCCAGTGTAGACACAGCCAGACTGTTTGTCCTGCCCCCCTCACTGAGCCACGCAGGAGTAAGTGAGAGTCTCCTTTGCAGCCTGAGTGTGTAGAGAGCAGGGACAGAACCATTATAGAAATCAAGAATGGGGTGGGTCAGATCAGAGCCCCATGGCAACAGTTCTGGTCTCACTGATGGGTTTTATCTTCCAGATAATGGGGCTCAACCTGTGCTATGGAAACATCCAGGTGTCCTCGCAGGTGTAATTGGGGCTGCAGTGGTTGTCATTATTGCTTTAGCAGCAGCTCTGGGAGGTAAGTTCCCACCCCTTGAAGATTCAGTCTTGGAGCACGGTGCTTTCTGCCTTGGTGATGACTATCTCCTAGATGTAGTAGGGACCTTGAAAGGTCATTGAGTCCAGTTGCTGGACTTCACAGCAGGACTAAGTACCATTCTTTACAGATTTTTAACCACAGATCTCTAAATGGCCTCCTTAAGGATTGAACTCACAACTCTAGGTTTAGCAGGTGAATGCTTAAACCACTAAGCTATCCCTCCCTTGCAGTGCCTGCTCCTGGGTTCTTGTAGACAAGAGAGTTTTATAATGTCTGATGTATGTAATGGGTAGTGTGAGAATAAATGTTAAGCAGCGTTAACTTTGCTGGCCACCCTTCTCTGGTTAACAGGGAGAAACAGTCTTCTAGGCCCGTGCTAAAGATGCATCAGGTGGACACTGCATGTGTCTGTATCTGACATTAACATAGACACAGATTAGATGGATCCTTGTGATTCAGAATGATCACACTGCTGCTCTTAGGAGTAATTAGAATACAGATTCTATTATAAAGAAAATATGACGAATTAAAAGTTTGTATTAACAGAAGCTTTGCAGTGGAACTTTAAGCAACAGCAAGATGGGGTGTGGGCATATGTGTGCCTGTGTGTGTGAATATGCATATACCAGAATAATGTTACGATGGCAATAAATGTGGTGTTTTGCCTTCTCACCCCAGAAAGATATCCCGTGAAATTCTTTCAAGGATAAAAATTGAGACAGGTTGAGGGTCCCCTTCCTGGCCTGTGGTACAGGTTTGCGGTTTTTGTATTGTATACTGTGTGCTGAAAATATTGTTAGTGAGGTTAAGAACTATTAGCAGGTCTCGACAATCTATGTAATCTACTCGCCCCGGGATTACAACCCAGAAGAGCCGAGTTCGGGTGATCTCCGCGTGCTGGTGAGCAGGGCTCACCATGGCTCAGCGAGCCCTGACTATTAGTAAGTCCCAACAACTAATTGGTTAAACTAGGATGAGAAGTTGATAAACATTAGACATTTAAAATGTTAAAGGACCCGGAGGCGTGGGGGGTAGCTGTGGAGCCCACCCTCCTGTAAATTGATAGTGGGACAAAGCCAGTGTCCGTGGAAAGGGGCTGATCAGCACAGAAAGCAGGATCAGGATCAGGCCCAGACAAGCAGGCAGGAAAGCTAGCGAGATTGGAAAAGAGGTTCAGAGTCCTGAGAGCACAGTGGCAGGAGTAAAGGAAAGCAGTAAGTCCAGGCATTGGAAATTCAAATCCCTGGAATAAAATGTGGAGTGGTAACATCTGAATGAAAGAATTTTTCCTTTTGGAGATGAGCAAGTATATTAAGGAAAAAGAGCGAGATGTTAACTCTGCAGAGCCTGGAGGGAATGGAGACATCAGAATGTTGTAAAAAATGCTAAAAAGAAGAAAAGCGTGATAGGAAAAGAATTCTTGGTTTCTTTGCAGCCTTTCTAAAGGAAAAGTGGACACTTTTCCAAAGAAATGTCTGTAAATAAACCAGGCATAGAGACAATCTGATTTAATATTTGACTATGGACACGTTAGTTAAATTTGCTAAAAGAGCAGAAAGGGTTTCTATTGAGACTTGACCACCCAAATGTATAAAATGTGCACGATCTATGCACAGCTGTGTAAAAATAATTAAAGTAGTGTAAAGGAGATTAAATAAAGGAGAATGCATGCGTGTATGCATCTCTGTGAGATTTTTAAGACCTCCTTAAACACTTCTGTTTTGTAGGTTTGTAAAACTCTGTTTTGTAGGCTTCAGATGATTTGGTTTGGTTTGGTTTTGAATAAAGCCAATTCATTCAAAGTTGCAAAAGTGACAAGATGCTTTTTGCCAGACAGAGGTAACTAGTGTTGCTTTGTCTTTTGGTATTCGACATGAGGTTCAATATCTTCTTATAAACCAAGATATGACTGATACAAGGGGTAGCCAAAACCAAGAAAATGGGGAGAGATTCTGAATTTCTTGTTCAGTTACTACCTGAAAATAAAGGTAAAGGTTTGCAAAGTAGAGAAACTCACAAATTTTGCCACTGCACGGTTTACCCCTCTCTTCAGATAATTTATGAATATGTTGCCTAGGATTGGTCCAAAGTCAGACCCCTGGAGGACACCACTAGTTACCTCTCTCTATTCTGAAAACTGATTGGCTGCATCTAGACTGGCAAGATTTTGCGCAAATACTGGCATGTGCTTTTGCGCAAAAGCATCCATGCCAGTGTATATGCTCTCTTGCGCAAGAAAGCTCTGATGGCCATTTTAGCCATCGGGCTTTCTTGCGCAAGAAATTGACTTGTCTGTCTACATTGGCCCTCTTGCACAAGAATGCTTGCATAAGAGGGCTTATCCCTGAGTGGGAGAGTCAGAATATCTGCGCAAGAACCACTGATTTTGTAGAGTACAAAGTCAGTGTTCTTGCGCAAATACTCGCAGCCAGTGTAAACAGGCGGCAAGATTTTTCACAAAAGCGGCCGCGCTGCTTTTGCGCAAAGTCTTGCCAGTCTAGAGGCAGCCATCATGTATATCTTCTGTTTCCTGTCTCTTAACATTTACCAGTCCACGAAAGGACCTTTCCCCTTATCCAATGACAGTTTAATTTGCTTAAGGGGGGGACCTTGTTAAAGGCTTTCTGGAAATCTAAATGCATTATATCCCCTGGATCCCTGTAGTGAGTCAGCGTGGGGCTCCCGCTGACCCTGAAAAGGAAATTCTCCCTAAGTGGGCTTGGCCAGAGCAACCCAGCCTCACCCACAGGAAGCAGAAAGGTGGGGCTGGGAGTATAAAAGGAGCTCAGCGCTCAGTTGGAACCCAACGGCCGAGATCCCTAGAAGAAAGGTCCGGCTGCCTCACCCAAGAAGGGAGGACAGGCAGGTACCGTCAGGTCCCCTGCTGGGCCCAGGAGACTGGATTGGGCGTCCTAGGCTGCTGCCAAGCCCCCATGACTGGTAAGGGGCATGTCAGTTGCTGACATGCCCTGAAGACTGGCCTGGGTGGCCCCAACTGCTGGCAGACCCAGGAGATTGGCCTGTGCTGTGGGGACCACTGATCAACCCCGACCTGGAGCCCATGGACACACGGCCAGCCCCACTGTCCCTGGCGGATCCTGAGAACCAGAGGCTGAGGCAGGTAGGTGGGAGAAGTGGGAAGCGGCCCAAGGACAGCCAACATTGGGTCGGTTGAGGAAATGGACGTCAACTGGTCTGTGTGTTGCGGTCAGGATCCCCACTGTCCCAGTGGCACCCCGCACTGCCACTGTTAGGGCCATGGGCTGGGACGCAGTGGAGTGGGTGGGCCTGCGTCCCCCCCACCTCTTTCCTTGGGGGGCAGGTTTCCCCCCGAGACCTGACTAAGGGTGCGGCTTTTCTAAGCTGAGGCTCAGCCTGACTCCAGACCTGAACCCCTGAACTGCTTTTGGGGTTTGCTTCGGGCTAGGATCTGGACATTCAGACTACGGCTCAGCTGGGCTATAGGCCAGAGACCCCGCTTTTACCCACTGGTAGGCCAGTCCTGGAGCAGGGTTCCCTAGGCCCCCAAACTGGTCCGGCCACTGTCTGGTGAGGCAGCATGGCCTCCCTCCAGCCAGAGACGCGTCCAGTCCCCTTCGTCCGAATGCTTGTTGACCCCCTCAGAGAATTCTAGTTGATTTAAACTGAAAATGCTGCCTTTACTGACCAAAGCAATATTTTACCTTATGTTTAAACCCTGCAGAGCTAGCACAGCTACGGAAGAATGAGCTGGAATCTGTTCGGTATTGCTCATCAGCAACAGAATTGTCTGCTAATTCTCATTATAGAGTCTTTATTACTACTGATGATGGAGACGAACCCAGCTTAACTTTCAGAACTCAGCATGAGCTTATAGCAATGGCAGCTTTATGCATGTTGGAGGATGACACCAGCAACAAGGATCAGCCCCCAACACACCACACTCACCAGCAGTGGCAGAGGAAATGGAGCAACCCAGCCCCAGCTCTCTCTGCTATCCCGGGGCATTACTGGGTTGTCAGGTGTCCTGTATTCACCCGGACAGTCTGGTACTTTCACCTCCTGTCCGGTAAAAGAATTCAGAGAATACCAGACACCTAAAATGTTCAATATTTTCAGATTTTTTTCCCCAGCCAGGAGGCAAAAATGCCGGGCACCTGGCAACCCTACAAACACTCAGTGCCCGGCCTCCCTCCACCTCCTCCCCCGGCTCCCAACACCCCCAGCCCTCCAACCCCAGTCCCCATGCTTACCCAGGTCCTCAAGGTTGCCGGCACAAAATGTCTGCCAACCAATGACTTTGGTCTCCCCCCTCCCCCTTTTTTTTCCCTTCAACAGAATTTTCTCCTAGTTTTTTTTTTGGGGGGGGGGGGGGGGGGGGGGGGGATGGATTTTTTGTTTCCACCATCTGGCAACCCTACAGAGGGGCAGGTCAGGATAGCCCATGTGCTCACCGGCGGGAAGCAGAGTGACACAACTGAGGGAACAGAACAGGCCACACCACCACTGCCGGCACCAGAACCCTGGCCAGTAGTCCCCTGGGCACATCGGCTGGTGGGAAGAGGGAGAAGACGGAGCAAAGGGAGGGAAGGGGTGGGGCAAGGTTGGGAGCAGCAGAGGGCGGAGCAGATGAAGGGAATGGCAGGGTCTGGGGGGCAGGGGATTTGTCTCTTCCTTGGGCTGGGTGAGGGTCACATGGTCTGTCCCCCCTCCCCTCATGTGCGTCCACGCCAGTCACCCCTCTGTGTGAACCTTTCTGCTTTGAGGCCTGCATGGTGGAGGGAAGGGGGCAGAGTGCCCTGGGGCAGGCTGTCCCCTCACCACCTACCAGGGTGTGTGTTGCCATTTGCTATGAAGCAGCAGGTGCTGGCGGCTCTCAGAGAGCAGCCGTGTAACCCACAGGTCAGATCTGTTCTCAGAGTCCCTGTGCTCCTGTGCCTGCTTGTTCTCCACTGAGAGATGGGAATGATCTCTCTCTCTTTCTTGGGCTCTCTTTCTCTCTTGTTCTCTCTCCCCTTCTCTTTCTCTTCCTCTTCTAGTGGAAAGATCTAAACATCCTCCTCCCTGCCCCCCTACTTCTCCTGGGTGCCCAGAGAACTGGATCAGAATCCAGGGGAAATTCTATTATTTTTCGAAGGCCGAAGGGAACTGGACCGACAGCCAGAAGAACTGCTCCTCACACGCTGCCTCCCTGGCCGCGATTGAGAGTCTGCAGCAGCTGGTGAGCCGCACGGACGCTTTGTGCAAAGCCTGGCGATCGCCGGCACCGCAGGCTGGGCTGGAGTCAGGCTGGGCCCAGCCCCTGAAGGGCAGAGGGGAGTTGGGCGGGCCAGAGTTGGTGAGGTTTTGGCAGTCAAACCTTGGGTGGTCCTGGGGCTCCAGGCTCCCTGACTCTGAACGTGCTCAGAGCCCCAGTTTGAGACTCCCCCTGTGCAGGGCAGAGCCAGCTGCAGGCCCAGCAGTAAGGCCCGATGAAGAAATGGGCTTTAGGGACTGGTGCCTGGGGCCCCTTCAGCTTGGGGCCCTGGCTGCAGCCTGCAATGCCCGTGTTCTGGGCCATCCCCATCCCAGACTGCTCCACTCCCGAGGGACGTGCCTGGGAGCTGGGCTGGAGGGAGCGCATTGGGCTGGGGCCAGGTCACGCTATTTCCTAGCACCGCAGTGAATGCAGGGGTGGAGCATCCCCTGTTGCCGGTCCCAGTCCTCCCCTAAACCCTGGTAATCTCCCGGGCCCTGTCACTTGAGGAAAAGGGACTTGGAAGAGGGGATGGAGCAGGGTTGGGAAGAGGTGGGGTCAGATGGAGCCTGGAGTGCAGGAGAGAGCGGGGGTTGTCCTTGGTCCTGCATCTTCCTAGGGCAGGCACTAGGTAGGGTCCTATCTTAGCCCCCTCCCCAACTTCTTGCCCTGACCCCCTCCCCAAAGTGGAGGTTGCACAGAGACAGCGCTTGAATGAAATGTGTTACTTTTACCCTTGCTCCCCAGCTCCGCAAAGCCCCAGAGTTCCCCCATGGTTGGGGTGGGGACAGTTCACCCTGCCCTGTGCTCCCTGCCCTCCACTGCCCTGCCCTGGTGGCAGGGGTCTGTCTGCCCTCCTGTCAGGATTATGAGGGTGAGCCAGCATCCTGGGGTACGTCTAGACTACAGGGTTTTGTCGACAAAGCAGCTTGGTGACAGAAGTTTTGTTGACAGATACTGTCGACAAAACTTCTGTCGACAAAACCCTGTAGTCTAGACGTACCCCAGGATGCTGGCTAACCCTCATAATCCTGACAGGAGGGCAGACAGACCCCTGCCACCAGGGCAGGGCAGTGGAGGGCAGGGAGCACAGGGCAGGGTGAACTGTCCCCACCCCAACCATGGGGGAACTCTGGGGCTTTGCGGAGCTGGGGAGCAAGGGTAAAAGTAACACATTTCATTCAAGCGCTGTCTCTGTGCAACCTCCACTTTGGGGAGGGGGTCAGGGCAAGAAGTTGGGGAGGGGGCTAAGATAGGACCCTACCTAGCGCCTGCCCTAGGAAGATGCAGGTCAAGGACAACCCCCGCTCTCTCCTGCACTCCAGGCTCCATCTGACCCCACCTCTTCCCAACCCTGCTCCATCCCCTCTTCCAAGTCCCTTTTCCTCAAGTGACAGGGCCCGGGAGATTACCAGGGTTTAGGGGAGGACTGGGACCGGCAACAGGGGATGCTCCACCCCTGCATTCACTGCGGTGCTAGGAAATAGCGTGACCTGGCCCCAGCCCAATGCGCTCCCTCCAGCCCAGCTCCCAGGCACGTCCCTCAGGGGAGTGGAGCGGTCTGGGATGGGGATGGCCCAGAACACGGGCATTGCAGCCTGCAGCCAGGGCCCCAAGCTGAAGGGGCCCCAGGCACCAGTCCCTAAAACCCATTTCTTCATCGGGCCTTACTGCTGGGCCTGCAGCTGGCTCTGCCCTGCACAGGGGGAGTCTCAAACTGGGGCTCTGAGCACGTTCAGAGTCAGGGAGCCTGGAGCCCCAGGACCACCCAAGGTTTGACTGCCAAAACCTCACCAACTCTGGCCCGCCCAACTCCCCTCTGTCCTTCAGAGTCTGGGCCCAGCCTGACTCCA